GCCAAAGTTGCCCGGGCGAGTCCCGAGCCCGCGGGCTCAGGCAATCCACTAGCCTCGGCCTCCCAAAGCGTGGGATTACAGGCTGAGCCACCACGCCCAGCCGACAAGTGTTCTTATAAGAAAAAAACAGATGCCAGGCACAGAGATACACAGAGGAGAAGGCTATGAAATGGAGGCAAAGTCCAGTGTGATGCAGCTACAAGCCAAGGACCGCCAAAGACAGCCAGCAGCCACCGAAAGATTAGAGAGAGGCGTGGAACAGCTTCCCTATCCAAGCTTCAGACAGGAACCGGTGTTGCCTACACCTGGAGACTAAGTTCTGTTTTGTGTTTCTTGATATTTTCCAAATAAAGAGCCACTTATTTCTCACATTACTTGAAGAGCCCATTCCTACTGTGTACTTGAGACTCACATCTCATCTTTCTGTTTCTGCAGCCTCTGTTACACAACACTGTGTTGGTTTACCAGCCTGTGTCACTTGCTTGCTCCTACACCATATACTTAGTTCTTGAATTGATTTCATAATGCAGTATGGAAGCTGGCAAAGCAGTTTCTTCCTCATGTTTTTCTGCTGGGAAAAAGAAAGTCCTGGGCTTATCTCCGTGTTTTGTTTTTGTTTTTTGAGTCGAAGTCTCACTCTGTCACTCAGGCCGGAGTGCAGTGGCACGCTCACAGCCACCACAGCCTTGACCTGCTAGGCTCAGGCGATCCTTCCACCTCAGCATTCCAAGTAGCTGGAACTACAGGCATGTGCATCACATCCAGCTAATCCTTTTGATTTATTGTAGAAACGAGGTCTCATGAAGTTGCTCGAGCTGGTCTTGAATCCCTGGACTCAGGCAGTCCTCTTGCCTTCACCTCCCAAAGTGCTGGGATTTCAGGCGTGAGCCATCATGCCAGACCTGTTTGTTTTTAATACCTTTTTTTTTTTTTTTTTAAAGAGATGAGGCCTTAGTATGTTGCCCAGACTGGTCTTAAACTCCTGGATTCAAGAAGTCCTTCTACCTCAGCCTCCCAAAGTGCTAGGATTACAGGTATGAGCCACTGCACCCTGCTATTTCAGTGTTTCTCACCCAGATATACTTTAGAATGGGTTTGCTGAATTTTGTGAAAATTATATTAGATATTTTCTTTAGTAAAAGGGAGTGCATTTAATATAAATGTTTCTATAAATGCAAGTATATGACCTGCAAGACATATTTTATGAGTTATTATGTTGTGAGAAATTCATGGATTATCAGAGATTTACTTAGCAGTTTAGAACTACGGTACGAGCCAGGCAGTGACTCACCCTTGACTTTGGGAGGCCAAGGTGGGAAGAACATGGGAGGTCAGGAGTTCGAGACTCGTCTGGGGAACATAGCGAGGTCCCTGTCTCTATTTAAAAAAAAAAAAAAAAAAAGCTGGTCATGGTCATGAGTGCATATAAACCCAGCTACTTGGGAGACTGAGACAGGAGAATTGCTTGAGTCCAGAAGTTCTATAATCTCGCACCACTGCACTCCAGCCTGGGAAACACTGACTGTTGTACTGAGTCTACAACAATAAATGAATAAATAAAATAGAACCAGGGTACAAATGACTTGTTAAGAGCAATGAGAAAATATTGTCTGGGTTTCTTCAGCATTTACCATGATTTTTCTGGGTTTCTTCAGCATTTACCAAGAATGACAATAAAAAATGGGGGCCCAGATGACCAATAATGGAAAAGAGCCCAGGAAGAGAACTAACAAGAGAAATGATGGGGAGACACCTCGTATCAACAAGGATGCCTGAACGAAGCATATTTGTATACCTAACCCTTAACTGTACCCCACAATATCATAATAAAAAATATTGATTAAAAAAAAAGAGAGAGAAATGAGAAGGATTAGAAGTATCTTGTCCAAGGCTCCGTTCTGACCTGTGCCCAGGAGCGTGAAAACTCACCAGCCTCTGCACACGTAGGGTATGCTGAGGGACAGACAGAAGCGATGACATGCACATACTCTTTAGGAGGCCTAAGAAAAACTACACAATCTCCTTGCTGCCTGTTTTCTTCCCATCTCATTTTCTGAATCAGTCACACTCCCCTTTCTCTACAGAGAAGTCACTGGAGCCCAGACAACAGAAGCAGGGGCATGACTTTCAGTTCTACCAGCATTGGTCCCTGCCCTGTCCCTGGCCAGCTGTGACTCTTTGGGCAAATTCACCTGTTGGAGTTTTTGTTTTTTCCTATGTAAAGTGGAGACTTCTAGAAAGCCAATGGAGCATACCTTATACAGATACAATAAACAACAGTATACAGGGTGAATAATTCTAAACAGGTCAGTGGGGTTTATTTTATACATGGACCCACTGCTTAAACAGTTCAGGCTTTAGACCATGGATTCTTCTCTTGACAGTCCACAGAGCAGTCGGACAGGACATTTAGAAGAGGCAGGAAAGGGAGACTCTGGAAGTTAATGAGAGTTTAACTTAATTCAATTTTAATGTTATATCCACCTTGAACATGCAGAGGAAATTAGCTAACCAGTATAGGATAAATTCCCTGCTCTTAAGGAGCCTACCCTGCAGTTGGTGAGGCAAAACCTCCCCAGGGGGAACAATATGAGAAACAGAACCAAGAAGAATGTATCGGCGGCATTGGCAAAACAGCAAAGCAGACTTAGGTGAAGAGTTTTAGGCCTGAGGAGTCTGTGAGAATTTTCTAGAGGAGGACTTCTTGGAGGCAGCATTGCAATGGGGATTTAATGCTGGGTATATAATAACACCATGTGGTAAAAATGTGACTGGTGGTCGGTTTCATAGAGAGGGTTGTTTGGCAAAATTCAGATGTAGAGTATAGTAAATTGGAATCTAGTAAATTGCTGGTGGGGTAAGTTTTAATTCGAATAATGGCAAAACACTTTGTTTCGGCTATATTAGAGCCAGGGCTAAGAAATGTGGTGTCATTTAGTAAATAGTTGCTTTATGGAAACCTGAAAACTGTGTGATAGGAAAAGTTTTAATTCTCACTTTATGTGAAAAATTTGAAACTGTGTTAATCCATCTCGAGTGTGTGTGTGTGTGTGTGTGTGTGTGTGTGTGTGTGTGTGTGTATATATATATATATATATGAGTTTTACAATTTAAACCAAGTTTCCACATGGTGGTGTCACTTTAGTTAGCTAACAGAAATACCCACCACTTCATTTTTGATTTGTCAGAAGTCTTTATTCCTCAAGGACAAAAGTGGCCAGGAAGCTGGTGATGGCATCGCTGCTGGACTCGACCATCCTCCTTTCAATGGCCTTCCTTCTATTATTTTCTTCCCAGCATGTCTCTTTCTTGGCCGTGTTACTACTTCCTTGGGCCTCTTCCTCCACTCCCACTTCCCCTCATCCACATAATCCCATCCCTATTCCTTTTTCAGCTTTCTCTTTCCCTATCTCACATTAACCAGGGACAGGGACAACTGCTGTCCTGCAGGCCATTGCCTTCATTGAGGAAACCATGGGAGGAAGATGGGGTGGACTATGTGCCAGACAAGGTGGGCTCTGTCTCAGAGGGAGCTATTTGAAAGTAGGAGAGCCTGGTCCTCTCTCTCTGACGGCTCCACTTCCTGCAGAGACTTGTAGAGGCGTCCTGGAGTGCTGGTGTAATGTGAAACCTCTTTGGACCCCATCAGCTTCAAGCTGGGACCGTAACCACGATACCAAAAGCAAGAGAAACCATAGATTCCCAACAGGCAGGAGGCATTGGCCAACACATGCCAGCAGAAGAAGGTGGTGACAAACATGATGTCACTGGTGTCATCATCCTTCCAAGGGTAGCCCGAGAGAGGTCTGTATAAAGTAAAACCTGCCTGCATCAGCCAGGAGCCCATCATCAGAAGCAGGAAGGTCTCAATCAGCCAGATGTGACATGTGTCAGGAGCCCACAGCTCAGCGACCAACACCAACATCAGCAGGAACACCACCAAGATGAGCAGAGAATGGACTTGCAGCTCTATCCCTTCTGAGTATTTAACGTGTGACACAAACAGCAGCAGGAGCTCATAGTAGATCAGGACCAGGGTACCTTTCTCTAGGACCACACACCTCTGAGGCAGCACATTCCTGCTCAAGAACTCTACACAGCCGTTGAGAATGAGGAGGATGAACATGGTGAGGTGCTGCCATTCTTTGGGATGCATGAATTTTGGAGCCGTCTGGTTGTTCATCAGCGCCAGGCCATCATCATGAACAAGGAACACATAAACTACTAGAAGAGAGCCAGCCACCACCTTCGACAAACCTCCATAGGATATTTTCCACAGCCTGACACATCTTCCCTTATCCCTGGGAGGACATGAAGGATACAGGAGAGAGTCTATGAGTATCATGGCCTTGAAGACTGCTATGGCCTGACACAGTCCACTTAAGAACAGAAATAGCCCTGGATATACGTGACCGACAAAGTTTCCCATTAGAACTACAAATCTGTCTAATGAAGGAGAGAAGCACAAAACCCAGGCATGACCACAATTTCTTAGGCCAATTCAGGTTCTGGCTTTGGAAAGAACTGCCTGTCACCTACTTTTATAATCTCACTCCACCCACTGCCCCCTCCACCCATGTTTCTCAAGACAATCCTACTCATTTGGTGGAATATAGCCTTATTGTTCCATTCCAATCTGGTACACTGGGAACAAACTGGTTCCTGCCAAAGAAGGAAGCTGATGAATGAGCTTTCAGGGGGATCCTCTTACAGCTCTTGTGACGTTTCTGGTCACACTTGCCTCTACGTCCCATGGGTTCCTTCCTCTTGTCCTCTTGTCTATAGGATATTTTCCACAGCCTGACACATCTTTTCTATTCCTAGGAGGGCACAACGTATACAGAAGAGAGGGTTCAGTGGAGAAGAGGAGAAGAAAGAGGAAATGGGTTGCAGAGGTATCCAGAGAAAGCCCAGGCAATCACAAACCATTGAGGGTGCATCAGTCCTTCTCAGACATCACTTTGATCCAATCTAAAGTGAAACATTTACATGCATGGATACATACTCATGAAAATTTAGATATATGATCATATAATAATTAGCACCTATCTCTTTCTGTGATAGACACATCTTGGCCACTAAGAAAGGTCCCATCATGCCCTTCTCTTACCCTTTCACATTACCCAACTGCCACTTCCGTTATCTCCACTTCCGTTAGATGAATCTGAAAAGCCTTTAGATATTGATTTTAGGGGCCTTCCTGATTATGCAGTCTGTAAGCATAAATGAGCTTGCACCATATTTCCTAGAATGTCCTTACTTCTATGGTTGCAAGTTAGAGTTGGCTACAAGTGGAATTTACATGAAGGTAGAAGGAAAGCAGCAACCAAAGCACTCTCTGAAGATGTAGGGTGCCAGACACGCTGGGGCTCACACACTGTGTTACGATCTACTTGCTTACTTCCTGAGTGTGAATAGCAGCCAGCCTACAGTACCCCAGCTTCTCGTAGTGTGAAGGGCACTGGCTTCTCCTGCAGGTTGCCTGCCTTGGAGATATGAGGTGGGGAGAGGATGACACAGGCTCCAGTTTGTCCTGTAGGTTTCCATTTGTCCCTGCTCTTCCTGTCTTCATATAATGGATTTCTTCCTGACCACTGTCACATTGACCTCACATGACCACAGGCCCCCCACACAGCAGAGAGGCAGCAGCCTTCCACAGTTTGTCACCAGATCCCCCAAATGTATAAGGCCTACTTTCTTTTTTTTTTTTTTTGAGTTGGAGTCTCACTCTGTCG